GAGAGAGAGAGGTACCAGGTGGTGATATTGTCTTGTCCAATACAGACGGTATTGTCATCTCTATAATAGGCCGCTTTGATGGCAAACCATTCACACCATCTTTATAGGCTATATCAAGCTCTTCCAAGCTAGAGGTAGCATGAGAAAAACCACAAAAGACGTCAAACTTCAGTTCCAGTTCTGAGTTCCAATCACAGTTCCATGCATTAAATTTTCTATCACAGAATTCCATCATTAAGAATCACGTCCACTTCATTTAAGTGTTATTATGAAAATCGGCATCAACATACAATAATTCATCTTGGTTGTTTGGTCCTAAGTTTCTTTATATATATATATATATATATATATAAGTTTGAATTGAGATACAATAATAAGAAACAATCCCAATTGACAGGATCCGTTCGAATTGAAAGTTTTGATTCACTAGCCATTCATTATAGAATAGAGGTACTAACAAAGATAGAGTGAAGGAGGTAAAAAACAAACAATATAGACTCATGATTTGTGACATCTACAAGTCCAGACTGCAGAGTATGATGAAAATGTTAAAAATGAATCATTGTTTCTCTAGGTTTAGTTTTATTACAATAACTTCAGTTGTGACTTTTGGAGTTATGTTGTCCACCAGTGATTTAAAAAGCGGATCCCCCAGTGCCTGGGCGGCCGGCTAGGCAGTCCAGAAGGCCTGGGTGCATCGCCCAGGCCTAGGCGGATATCATTGGGCACTCGCCTAGGCACCTAGCCCTGAGTGGCCGCCCAAGGCCTGCACCCCGCCCAAAGGCAGAAATGACACTCGTTGAAGGCATTTTTTGGTCATCTTTTATACTAAAGGGGAAAAATTGTGAATCTAAAATCCATTAGATCCTATTTTAGACAGAAAAACTCCAAAAAACTAGTTTTTGGTGATTTTCATAAGATCAAAGGGTTAATCAAAATTACGAGAAATTGATCTAAGCATCACACATTGATATTAGATTCAATATTGGATGTTTTATAAATATATTAGAGGGTTTTTTAAAAGATTTTGAGTCCTTTGAAATATCTTAGAGGTAGAAGTTTGGAGATCGAGCAATCAAAGTTAGTGATTTTTTTATTGCTTGTGTAAGTTGTATTATTTTGAGATGTCTTCTTCAGGATCTACAAGAAGTAGTGATCCGGGTTGAAAATATAGCTACAACCTGAATCCTTTGGATAAAAAGTGTATAAGATGCAAGTTTCGTGAAAAGGATATAAAAGGGGGTATAAACCGGTTCAAGAAACATCGCGCCGGTATCAGGGGGATATTGCCCCATGTAAAAAGCTCATGAAGTTAAAGATGAAATAAACAAATTTTTTAGTCTTGCAAAAACGAAAAAAGATGAGATATATGCATCCACAGCAAAGATTAGGTCTAGTGTTCAGGTCAGTTATGATGATGACGACAATGATGAGGATGGGAAGGGATGTCACGAGGTAGAACAACAACATTCCATGATTAGGGGGAAGGGAAAGGGAGTTGTAATTGCTTATGGGAGTTCGGGACCTAAAAAACCTCAGGTTAGAGGCCCTATGGATTGTTTTTTGCCCCGGCCTACCCCTGAGGTTGCATGAGAGAAAACAAAGAAACAAATCACCATTGAAAATAGAATCAAGAAGGAAGAGAGAGATAGAGATGTTTTTTATGTTGCCACATGGTTTCATGAGACGAGCATTCCTTTCAATATCACTTGCCTAAGCAGCATCTACGCCTTGGTAGAGGAAATTGGCCAATTTCGGCATGGGATGAAACCCCCAACCCCATATGAGCTTTTAGAGCCTCTTTTAAAAAAGCGATGAGTGTCATGAGGGATGTTGTTGAAGTTCAGAAAGATGCATGGGCTTAGTATGAAGTTTCTATTATGACTGATGCTTGGAGTGAAGGAAGAGAAGAAGTCAAATGAATTTGCTGGTGAATTGTCCTATAGGGACTATTTTTTTGAGGTCTATTGATGCCTCTGATCATAGTCATGATACCCATTACATATTTCAAATTATGGAGAAGGGAATCAACAAGGTTGGGGAGCAGCTTGTTATACAGGTTGTCACAGATATTGTTGCTGCTACTAATTTGTTGCGCATAGCTTACGCTAAAATCTTTTGGACACCATGTGTAGCACATTATACAGACCTCATGCTTGAGGCTCTTGGCGGTTTGAGCAAAAGTTTAGATGCAGCGAAGAAGGCAAAGTCAATTACGAATATCATTTATAGCCACACTCTCACCCTCAATATGATGTGTAGATTTACAAAGAACAAAGAGATTGTGAGGCCTAGGGTCACAAGATTTGTCACCTGGTACTTATGCCTAAGATAATATACATTCGAGGAGAGTCCAATTGACTCTAGTTGAGGCAGATGTTTACCTCGGATGAGTGCAGAGCATTCAAGTGATCCAAGGATCAGGTCGGGAAGAAGGTGAGAAATATTATCCTTTCTAAGCCTTTTTGTCGAGAGGTGACGGGCATTCTTAAGGTATTTTTTCCTCTTGTCAAAGCCCTTCGCATGGTTGATAGTGACAAGGCTTTTATGGGCTACATATATCATGCTATGGAGAGATACAAGAGAGAGATAACCCAAAATTTAGATGATGATGAGAGCCGTTATAAGCCTATTTTGGAAATTATTGATGAGAAGTGGAATATGCAGTTACATTGGCCATTGTATGTTGCTGGTTATTATTTGAACCCTGATTTTTTTTATATCGATAAGGATATACACACAAATGACACAATTAGCTTTTTTTTATGTTGATATGGATATACACACAAATGACACAACTGGATTTAATAAGTGTATAGATGTGCTAGTCCCTGATCCGGATATCCAGGATATTACATGTGCTGATGAGCTGATAAATTACAAGTGCACATTAAAGTCTTTTGGGAGTCCAATAGTGATGACCACAATTGATCCAGGTAATAATATTCTTAATTTCATCAAGTTTAAGTAATCAAGTTTCATTTCTATAATTTTATTATTTATTTATTCTATGTCTTTACAGCCAATTGATGAAGCCAACATGGATGTAGTGCTCCAAATTTACAAAACTTAGACATTTGGATTTTAAACCTAACAATTACCTCGTCCAGTTGTGAGCGGAATTTGAGTACTTTTGAGATGGTAATTTGTATGAGCAATTTAGTACTTTAGTAGTTATTAGTTTTGTAGTATTACTATTATATATTTAATTATTGACATTAATTAGCTTCATTTGATTTTGTTAGATTTACACAAAGAAAATGAACAAGCTTGAATCAAAGAGGCTCAATGACCTAGTCTATGTCAAGTATAATCAATTATTGAAGGACATGTTTGCTAAGAGAGATAAGAGAGATCCCCTCAGATCAAAAAATATGGTCAATGCTATGGAGTGGTTGGTTGTTGATGATGAGGTCGAAGGGCATGAAGGATTGACATGGGACATGGTCATGGATGCCTCAAGGACATCACCTGACCCTCCTAGGGCCACTAGATCTTCTTCACAGATGACGAGGGTGGAGGAAGAGGAGGAAGCAGAGGTAGATTCAAAAGAGATAGAGGAGGACGACCATTATGTCGAGGAGGGAGATGATGACAATGATGATGGCAACGATTTTGATGCATAATGTAGATGCAGCTGACCGTACTTTTTCTGATGATGAATGAAGATTCTTTAGAGTCTTCAAGTATTTTTTTCATTTTTGTTTCCTCCTCTTGGTTGTGTATTGTGAATTTGTGGTTCTACTGGTTTGGTAACTTTGGTAATTTGGTTGGTAAATTTTAAGTTTTAACTATGTGTGGACTGTGGAGTGTGGACTATCAAACTATGGATAATTGGATATGGACTTATGGTTATGGTCTTATGGAGTATGGCAAAGTGTGCGCAATGTGTTGTGTACTCTACTTTTGATGTACCCTAAATCCATAATTCTTATGTTTTATACAGTTATACTTATACTGCTAGACTATAGAGATATTTTTCTTTCTACTAAGCCGCTCAGGTTCTGGGCACCCTCCTAGGCGCTGTGTGGCCTGGACCCCCCAGGCTATCTAGGACCTACCTAACGCTTTTTGAAACACTGTTGTCCACTTCATTCCCTCTCTGATGATCCAGATACAAGGATATTGCATTTGCATTATGCATACATTGTAATTTTGTTCAAATTAATGGCAAAATATTTTCAAAAGACTTTTGGCCAAAAGGTACTAGCATCTGGACAATCAAAAGTCATTAAATATGAATAACATCCATTAAGAAGAGAATAGGAGTCATCCATCAAAGCGTCGCAACTTTTTAAAAAAACATGTTAACGTTTTGTGGCCTTTAAAGCCCATGAGAGCATGTAAATAACAACTGTAGTGGACTATGCACTTCAGTAGGAGTGTTGTGTTGGTTGACTGCCTAAGGGTTAGGCAGTTTATAGCACTGGTCGTGTCTAAAACCCTTTCCCACGGGTAAAGGTACTACCATTGAGGGTTCAAGAGGGTCATCCCTTATTGAGTTTGTCAAGATGTCTCGGCATGGTTTGTAGGTACGGAGAACTTTGTAGTGTCCTATTTGCGGTTGAAAGCTTGTGAGAGTGACAGCTAAATCCTCAATAAACTTTCGCACGATATGTATACATGACAGCCACTTCCTAGAAGCAACACTAGAAAGGAATACATGTATATATGTATAGAGAGTCCCCAATACATTCTAGTGGTATGTGCGAGTCACTTTCTCTTAAGGAAAATGAACTTGTAATCCACATTTCGAGTCCATGATTCGACTATTTATTGGCTAGCTTTGACGAGTCAATCATGAGCTTCTGTACTAGACTTTGGGTTATGGATCTCCTTGGGTTGGTTTGAGAAGATAGTCAAGAATCACCATTACTAGGTCGGGTGGAATGCTCTAATAGTTATTTTTCTTAATCTATTGGTACCAAGGTACTTCTAGAATATTTTTCATTTTTTAGATTTTTGTTGGAAATTTTTAAATCATTTTCAGCAATAAAAAACCTTGAAAAGAGTGTTTTCATAATTTTTGCTTTCGTTGGGGCTGTGGGACCCACGACCTTGTGGGGGGGCGGGGGGGGCACATCTTAGAGAAAATATTTGAAAAATGTTTTGCAAGCATATTTTGTGGCACTAGAGAGTATTTTGTGTTTTGGAAAATATTCTTTCAATATTTGAATTTGACCAAATCTTTTTTACTTTGAATTCGTACAATCTTTTTGTGAGATAAGGAAATCCTAGTCAAAATGGATGATGAGATTTGATTAATCTTATCCAAGGCTGACTAGAAGTAGATGTGGGTCAAAGATTTAGGGGGATAAGATTCCTAAATTCCTCCCTAAATAATGATGGCTCATTTTCAGGATGGATGGCTCATATTTGTTTCTCTCTCACCTCACAGATTACCTAGGAGTCCTATGGCCAAGAGGAATTCTAATTAAGATGGGTATACTTGGACCCCTTGAAAGCTATAAACAAAGGATAGATAACCTCATTCCAACAACCTGATTTCTTAGGCCCTCTCTCTCTCTCTCTCTCTCTCTCCTCCTACTACTACTACTACTTACGTTACGTTAGTAGTACGTACGTACGTACTACGTACGTACGTAACGTACGTACGTACGGTAACGTACCGTA